TTCCTGAGTGAGTATGCAAAGAATGTGTACCATTTCTAAGAGCGTGCTATGGGCATGCTGTTTGGTGTGACTGGTCAACAACATCTCTACATTATGTTAAAGGTGAACCTCAGGCACATTCAGGTCATGTTAATTATTTGAATTCATATATGACAGCGGGTGCCTGAATGGGGGAATGGAGGTCCAGAATTGTCTCATCTAAACAAAGGCATGTAACAGGCACATAATCTAGGGGAATAATGGGGCTTCAAGAATGAGAGAGAAGGAAAAGCAAGGGAAGAGGAATGGAACGTGTTTAAAATTAGATGCAGAACCATTGCAAGGGCAGTATATGAAAGTCTTTTGCTCTAGATGTAACTGTTTGGAGACAAGCACTAACCATCAGACTACATTAAAAATAGGCAGCAGAAGCCTCCAATGTGCTAGGAGTCTGTACTGTGTAGCCAGCAGATGTTAAGGGGGGAAAGGCAGACTGAGGCAAATGCAAAAGTCTTCCTGGTGATATCTGCTACATATTCTGTTATTTGGCCAGATAGAATGTTGCAGTTCATTCAGCAACCAACTAATATATTAATGCATGGGCTGGAAGGCACTTTGCAAGTCTTTGACGTGTACTGCACTTTGTGATGTTTTTCAGAAGTAAAAAAGGAACAGTCAAACATTACCATGTGCACAAAACCCCTGAGAACAAGTATTACCTTGCTGAAAATTACTGTTTTGAATCAATTCCCAAGCTTATACACTACCATCAGCACAACTCAGACGGTAATCCTATATGTTCTTTCTGCTTGATTGGCTTTGGCTAAGGCTTCCGGACTTTAAGCATTATGGTGAATCTCTTCCAATACTGAATGCTCTAAATATTGAAACACCTTTTGGGAGAGTCTGAGTGGAAGTTGATCTAACATATTCACAATCAATACAGTTTCTTTCCTTTCCTTTTTCATATCGTGGTACCTCTTTTTGCAATACCTCTGCTGGACTAGCTCTGAAGCACAAAAAATTTTCAATGTTGTGAAGTGATGCAGCAGCGGCTGAATGTTGAATATTGAATATCTGTCATTACCTGGCTGGTTGTAATAGGGCAGGGAGAGGGAGGTATTAGTTTCCTTGTATTTTCTTTGATTTCGGAAGACTCTTGTGTACATTGTGACCTTTAACAGGTTTTCTTTGTAGGTATGGTGACAAGGCTCCGACATGCAGTGTCTACACAAGTAAATAAAGTCCCATCAACAGCTTCATTAGGAAAAGGTATGAAGATAGCTTTCCTTTTTGAAACTGGTGTTAGTCTTGGCCACCAAGAAAAGAATAACCAGAAAATCATGACTCTTACTGTTTTCATGCTTTCAGGAGGTTAGAGAACCTCTGTTTGGTGGACATTTCCACTTGTCCATGCAGAAGGCAATGTGAGAATTTGAGGAGGATGGTCTTTCAGTTAATAGCTCCTTCTGTAGTTTCCTCTTGTCCAGTGTAGCATTGAGACTTTATGGTTCTATTAAATAAAGTATCCCTTCCTATAAGTGCATCTAGTCTACATCCAGGGCAACATGGATGCAAAGGCATTTTGTATCAACTTCTATGTTTTGCCCTTTTTAAGACATTTTATGTCAGGTCTTATACCAACTGTGCAAGACCTTTCATGCTCCCTTCCCCAGCACATCTAAGTCATGGCCATTCTTTCCCTTTGCCACATAACCTGGCACAGTAATACTTGTTCTTCAATCTCCTATGTGAAAAGATATCATTATTTGATGCATAAATCTTTCTCAAATCTATTTATAAGGCTAAAATGTAAGCAATAGCAAACAATTGTAGGAAGAATAGTCTCCTTCAGTAAATCAATCACAAAACTGGTTGGTATGTTGCTTTAGTGCTGCATGGTTCTGCAACCCTCCAGAGAAAATAACAGCATTGCATGAGGGGAATATCATGCTTGCATTTGTTTTGTTTTTTGGTTTTTGGGGGTTTTTTTGCTAAATGAATTTCTTCCATCCCACTAGGAATCTGGGAGCTGAAACGAGAAGAAATTGTCCTGCTGAGAGACTTAGGGAGTGGCCGGTTTGGAGTGGTGTATCTGGGAAAGTGGAAGAGACAATATGATGTGGCCATAAAGATGATTAAAGAGGGAACAACGTCAGAAGATGAATTCCTAGAAGAAGCTCAGACTATGATGTAAGCTATGATATTGCTTAATTATTTGGAAATAATGATGTCTCCAAACATTAATCAGTAATGTATAGCACACACAAGAAAGAGAATTTCCTCTTAAAAATAGCATTCATTAGTACTGAGTACATTAGGCACAAGCTAAATAGGTAACCATATAGGATATTTGAAGTATTACGAAATGAACTTCACAAAGATTGATACAGTCATCTACAAAGTTTTCAATTAACATCTCTTCCAAAACTTCAGAGGTTCCTCATATGTCACTTAAAACTCGGCTTCATTAGCAGTTATACAGAAAAGGTTAGAAATATGTCCCTGCATTCC